CTTCGTTTGTATAGCATGAAAGCAATTTGCATGTGAATATGGTAGCTACCTGTTGTTATGAAACTACAGAGCAGTATCAGGCTAAAGGAAATCACATGTGTTTATCAGATTTCTCCCCCAAAGATCAGAGAAAGTACATGGTGCCAGGCATTTTCGCATCTTCAGATGATTAATATCCAAAAATAACTGACTTTGCATTCTGTTTCCTCTTCCCTCAATTTTTGCCCTTTAAAAGAATATACCTGAGGTTGGTTTGGGGTCACAGCTTTCTCCATCAGAGAAGTTGGGTCCACCCGATCTCTGGTTTTCTATACTTGTATGTCTTTGTGTGTTTATTTTCATGATTATTCATAATCCACAGCCCCCCGCCCCCGTCAGAAAAATGCATTCTGCTGAGTGGGTCCTGGCACCAAGCAAACTGAAATGTAGGGTCACCTTATATTTGCAATATTTTATTGATGGCTATCTTTTTATTTGTGTTCTCCTTAATCACTGAATGTCATGGCTGGCAGAAAATATAGAGATTTCCTGATTCTTTATTCACGGAGGAGGAAAACTGGCATCCAGAATTGGGAAGTGCCTTTTCCAAGGCTTTGCCTCTCACAAATTGTGGGGGAAAATTACTCAGTTACTGTGAGAGAATGAAAATGCTCTGGAGTCAAGTAGTTGAGATTTAAGTTCAGCTTCTTTCACCAATGTAGCTGTGCAACTTTGCTCTGAAGTTACATCTGTGCAGGCTTTGTTTCCTCTACTGAGAGCTCCTTAAAGATTGAAATGATGAATTCTATGTCTTTAAATCTTTTTAAGGGCCCAAACATAGTACTTCACGTATCATAGATGCTCAGTAAATATTTGCTGAGGAAGTTTAAAAACAACCAGATGTTTCACATAAGAGTCTCATTTCTACTCAGAACAGCACACAGTACACTCAGAAAGTGATAATAAAAATCTCAGTCCATCCCAGGACTGGCACTTGGGAGAGCAACAAGAGAAAGCCCTATTGGCTACCCTGGCCTAGGCTGCAGGGTCTGGCTATCAAGGGCTGATTGCATGGTGAACAATGAGTCAATGGAATTGAAGAGGAGAGCATCACGTTTGGCACCCATTTTCTTTCTTTGCATCCCTCAGGATTGTAGCATTAGTCAAAGAAGGTGTGATCCAGGTAACTACTGCCTTGGTTGATTCTGTTGTTTTCTGGGAATTCCTGGTTGTGAGTCGTTGATCTTTCCCACTGGCATCCTTGACCTTCCAGCTCAGATTATTGAGAGAATGAACACTTTGCAAGACCTCTTTCTAAGAAGGAACCTACAGAACCCTGGGAGCCCAGGACCTTGAGTTACAGCATTGCCTAAATCTCTGTGCTGCTTTCTGATTACCTCACTGGTAGTGTGCTGACACCCTCTGATTTGTCAGTCAGTTCCCTTTACTCTGGGCCACACCACAACTGACTTTTTGCTGGGATTGAGAAAACCATAAATGTTTCCTTATTTCCCTTCCTGGAGCCAAACAAAAGGATTGGTCTAAACAGCAGAGCCAAGGCATGAGAGGGGAGGGGAGAGAGAGAGAGAGAGAGAGAGAGAGAGAGAGAGAGAAAGAATTTCAGAAATGTCAATGTGGGGAACCAGCAGTTAGCGTAATGGCTATGTCACTGAACTCCCATGTAGTCAACTGCGGTTCACGTCCCGGACCTGGTGAGTTAAAACTCATGCCAGGTGCATGTGCGTGTGTGTCCCAGATCCCGAGAGGAGAATGGAGGAGAAGGGATTGCGGCATGACCATCCCCCCTGGGGCATGATTTCTCGCTTTCTGTCTCTATGTCTCTCTCTGTCTGTCTGGTGAGTGCAGAAAAAAACACCAAAAAAAAAAAAAAAAAAAAAAAAAAGAAAAAGAAAAAAAGAAATGTCAATGTGGAAAAAAAGATATCAAATATACCCAGTTATTTGGCTGAAGATTTTCAGGAAGCCAGGCCTTTGAATAGAGCAGATGCTCTGTAACTGTATCTTGAATGAAGAAACCTAAATATACTTTAAGTGAGTGACACCTATTACAAGCATTTTTTTCTCCAGGAAACCTCTGATATTGAGAGTCCTTACACCAGGGCATTTTTAAAAGAATAATTATTTATTTATTTTATTCATTCATTCATTTTATCTTAATTTTGTCAGAGAGATACACAGAGAGAGCGAGAAAGAGGGAAATTGAGAAAGCAAGCCACCAGGTCCAGGGCTTGAACCATGGTCAGCCATGAGAGAATGTTCAATGCTTTAACCACCATGCCACTGGCTGGTCCCACACCAGGGCATTTTTTTTGTGGTGTTTTCTTGATGAGACATGATTCTCTGGAAGGTTGGATTATTTATAGGCCAAGATAGCAAGATAGAAATGTTTTTCTAAAAAGAATTCTTTTATTCAATTTAATTAGTTTATTATTTTTATTATGAAAAACTATTTAATTTTACTTATTAATTCATTTACTTTAGTTTGACCAGAGAGGGACAGACAGAGAGGGAGAGAGAAAGTGAAAAAGCAAGCCACCAAGTCCGGGACTCGAACTGTGGTTGGCCATATGTGAGTGTCCAGCACCTTAATCACCATGCCACCTGCTGGCCCCATATTATTATTATTATAATTATTTTAGTTTGACCAGAGAAAGACAGAGGATTGAGGGAAAGTGAGAAAGTAAGCCACTACGTCTGGAACTCGAATCACAGTTAGCTATGTGGGAGTTCAGTGCCTTTAACCACCATGCCATGTGCCAGCCCCCTTTTGTCTTTTTTAAATGAGGAAAGTAGGATCATTAAGGACTCTTGAAGATGTTTGCAAAGTATGCTGAACTTTAGTGGCTGCACATGTTGGCTTTTATATCCTTACGAACAAGTATTACTGAGCATCTTCTCTGTGCATGGTTCTGGGGCATACAAATTTGACAATATTCCCCAAAACAATCTTGTTAAAGTTGAAAGTGTGGTGTCTGAGTTAATATGACTGGCATTGAAATCTCTGCTCACAAATTACCAGCAACGTTCCCTTAGAGCAGTATTCTTTTGCTTTTTATTTGTAATGGACAGATTATAACTGTACATATTTATGGGGTATTTTGTGATTTTTTAGTACATGAATACAATGTGTAATGATCAAATCAGGGCAATTGGCATATTCATCATCCCAAATATTTATTATTACCTTGTGTTGGGAACATTATGAATCCTCTCTTTTAGTTATTTTGAAATATATGATCAATTATAACTTTATTTATGCTACTATGCTATAGAACACTAGAACATATTCCTTTATCTAATTGTAATTTTGTATCCATAAACCAACACCTCTTTATCCCTCCTGCTCCCTACCCTTTCCAGCTATTAGTAATTACTTTTCTACTCTCTACTTTCATGAGGTCTTTTTTTAGTTTACACATATGAATGAGGATGGGTGATTTTTCTCCATCTGTGTTACTGCAATATTCTTCTACAAATAGTTTTAGAAATTTTTTTTTTCAAATTTCCACCTTCTGGCCTCATAAAATATGAGGAGAAGCTCAAGCTGTGTGGTCACATACACACACACACACACACACACACACACACACACATCTGAATCTCAACTCCTTCCTCTAGGAAATGATCAGGAATAAATTTTGTGCCTGTTTCTTTCTACATATGCCAACTCTCCACATTCTTACTCTAGATGTTGTGTTAGATGCCACAGCATAATTTACTAAAAATACCTAGTGCAGAATCTGATTCATGGCTGGGACACACTCGTGCTGATAACCGAGAGTGTATAGTGCCATAATAAAAAGCAGAGCTCACTAGTTCTTTCACCCATAGGGCAGAGGTCCCACAACCTCCTATTGACAATGCTGGGAGCAGATGTTCTCTTGTTTGGATCTATACCCAGATTGTCTGTTCTGGGGCATACATATTTGACAATATTTCCCATCTGGGAGTAGATGGTCTCTTATTTGAAACTACACTTGAATTTCTTGATCATTGGATGAAATTGTGTTGATAGCACCCAATACCTAATGATAGCAGGTCATAATATTGACTAGAACAATGATAATAGTACAGAAGGGGGAACATTAGACATGTAGATATTTATACTACACAAATGCATTTTAAAAAATATTTTTTGAATTAAACAAACAATCCAGATCTACAGCCATAAGAGTATTCATGAAATATGAGTGGCCCTCCTGCCTCCATTGTTTTAAGGACCTTCTAATGTCCTTATCAAAGATAATCATCATGGTGGTTTGAAAACATGACTAAATTTGCTGACACTTGCCCCATCAAGAGAATCATATGCTACATGCCACTGAGGTGTTCTACATGAAATTTTTGTTTCCTCCTTTTCAATCAAGATAGGTTTATACATGCTCTAATCAGTACCATACAGTAAAAGTAATGATATGGTACTATAATTTCTAGTCTCACATGGCTTTGCCTTAGCCAACAGAACACCCCTTCTTGGAGCCCTGATCTCTCATGTAAGACATCTATCTTGAGGCTAACATGAAGAAGTCCCATTCACATGAAGAATCCATGTTTAGGCACTCTGGTAGACAATCCCAGTTGAGTCTAGCCTTTGACTCATCTCTGCCCAGGTTCCAGAAACACCAGCAAGATTCTAGCCCCTAGTCAAGAGTCATCCTAAGCCGTTCCAGTCTTCCAGGCTGAGGCCCTAGACATTGCAGGGCAGAGAAAAGCCATTGTCAACATGTTCTATTCAAATTCCTGATCCATAGGATCTAATCCAGGATAAAATGATGGCTGTTTCACACCGCTAAATTTTGGGGGTGATTTGTTGCACAGATTTAATAACCTGGATTATCACTATGATTGTGGTCTGCCCAGAGAATTTCAGGTACATATAAGAATACACATCTGTCTACATTCATCTCTCATTTTTCTCTTAACACATACAGAAGCAGAATTTGCACATTGTTATGAATCATGCTTTTTATAAGGAACCAACTGCAGAAATGCTTTACTCACAGGTTTGCGAACGTCAGGTAAGGTAATCCAGAGAGGAAACACTATGGGGAAAACAATCAGGTACGTGACCTGCTTGCGGGGTTCAGAAGGCCAGGCCAGGCTGAGAGGCTGGTCCTCCTCATCGTCAGCCGCCTCTGTGTTCTGTTGTGGAAAGAGAAAGGCAAAATATAAACGAACAAAAAAGAGAAGAATGTATGCAGGTCACAATAGCAAGACCATAAAGCAAGGGAGGGAAGCTCCAGACCTCATTGGGAGTTTTCCTGAGTTGCCCTGAAGCTTCATATACCTATTTTTTAGGTTTGAAAGAGAACCCCACCTGCCACAGTGGGAGTCCCAGGAACAAAGAGTAAGTTGCCCAGCCTTGAGAAATTTTCTTTTCTCTCCTTGAATCGTCTTCAGCTTCTCTTTCATCCAGTGGTTTATTCAACTGGACTAGGCTATGGTTACCATTCATGAACTTTTTATGAGAAATCGTATGTGCAGAGCAAGAGGTCTGACAACCATTTCCCCCTCTTTTCTCTTCCTGAGGACAAAGCAGGATTCAGAGACCTTGGGAAGGAGAACACTGATAAAAATTAAACTTCTTTCTTTCCTCCTTGCCTCCCTCCTTTCTCTGTTTTCTTTCCCCCCCCTCTCTTCCTCCCTCCCCTCCCTTACTCCCTCTCCTCTCTTCCTCCCTCTCCTTCCTTCCTTCCCTTTTTCCTTCCTTCCTTCCTTCCTTCCTTCCTTCCTTCCTTCCTTCCTTCCTTCCTTCCTTCCTTCCCTGTTTTGGTTAGAGCACTGATTTTGAGCAGGCAAATGAAAATACCACAGAAACAGGTCATAACAATAGAGTTTCATACCTGCCTGCTGACCCTGGAATGGTTAATCTCTATTTTTGTATAGTGGTGAGTTTTTAACTTGCTAATTACCTGTTGAATTCTAAACCCTTTTACTTGCTGCCAAAGGTTTATTATGCGAACTTGCCTCAACCCTCAGAAAAACAGAAGGCAGAAGCCCAACAAAGCAATGACCCTGAACAGAACCTCAGTGTCACAGGGAAACCTCAGTTTCCAACTTGGCAGCAAGTGGCCAGTGTTTTATTCATCAGTTACTGAAATCAGCAGCTTCTGAAGGCCCAGAGCTAGAAGAGACAGAAGGTAGATCTGGCCTGGCAGGATGACCATTAGCCTGTCAGATGGGCCTGAGTGCTTCCAAAACAGCACTGCAGACACCATCAATCACTCCCTTTCCTGCTTGTTTAAAAATGAAAGCGTGGCAGCAAGACCAAGCATCAGATTTCCTTCCTTCCTTCCTTCCTTCCTTCCTTCCTTCCTTCCTTCCTTCCTTCCCTGTTTTGGTTAGAGCACTGATTTTGAGCAGGCAAATGAAAATACCACAGAAACAGGTCATAACAATAGAGTTTCATACCTGCCTGCTGACCCTGGAATGGTTAATCTCTATTTTTGTATAGTGGTGAGTTTTTAACTTGCTAATTACCTGTTGAATTCTAAACCCTTTTACTTGCTGCCAAAGGTTTATTATGCGAACTTGCCTCAACCCTCAGAAAAACAGAAGGCAGAAGCCCAACAAAGCAATGACCCTGAACAGAACCTCAGTGTCACAGGGAAACCTCAGTTTCCAACTTGGCAGCAAGTGGCCAGTGTTTTATTCATCAGTTACTGAAATCAGCAGCTTCTGAAGGCCCAGAGCTAGAAGAGACAGAAGGTAGATCTGGCCTGGCAGGATGACCATTAGCCTGTCAGATGGGCCTGAGTGCTTCCAAAACAGCACTGCAGACACCATCAATCACTCCCTTTCCTGCTTGTTTAAAAATGAAAGCGTGGCAGCAAGACCAAGCATCAGATCTAAATATACCAACAGGAACTTTTCCACCCATGCTTCCTTTGGAGACCATATAAATAACCTGCACAGCCTTCAGAAAGCTTCTGCCCCCTGTGGCTCTGGCTTCCAGCATCGCACACTTCTCAAGCAGTAGCACTGATTCCCTCCAGTGCTGAGGTCCCTAAGGAGGTGGCAGGCTGGACAGGCTGGGGCTAGCCGGTCTAGGGGTTAAAGACCCAACCAGAGAGCAGGTGTGTGAGGCCTGAGGCTCGGGAGCACTGTTGGGTTTCTTTATTTAGCAAACACTAGGTATTCCTATAAAGATTTGTACTGGTTTCCACAGTCATGCACACCTTGACTGTCTGCAGCAGTTAAAATTAATAGTAATAATGATATTAAAAAGGATCAGAAGCCATACAAAAAAAGGTTAGTAAAATTAAGTTTTTGTGCTCTATGTCCTTGGCAGTGGGGAAGAGTTTATGAATAGCAAATATGAAGAAATCAAGGGGTTAAGGAATAAAGTTGGGATGTTGGTGCGCCTTATTTTGGCCACCCAGGTCCTTGTTAAGAGCACTCCTCATACTCCCCCCTGCTTTGCTATGCAACTCACGTGCTACCCCATCCGCTGCCTTCTTAATCTATCCTGGGGTCCTCATCCCTGATAGAAGGTTTGCTGTGCTGGCTCTAGTCTTTCCTCGGAATCTGCCTTGTCTCCTCTGAGGGATGCAGCAGATGGAGAGAATATCATTCCCTATCAGGTTCTCCAGTTTCCCCAGGTGTCAGCTGGCTACACGAATAATCTCTGTGACATAGGGCCAAGGAGGATTTAGGAGACAGGTGCACTTTGTTCCCTTCCATAATTTGTGTTTAGCCAAATTAGGACTTTCCCCTCCCTTCCCGATAGATGCCCCAGAAATGGACATGAGAGAATGCAGGTATTGCATCATTCCTAATAAGTACTCTGTCTCATACGAGATAAGCGGTTTTATTCAAGCAGAGGATCAACTTCCCTGAAGACCCTGATCTGATGAGTTCATCGAGGCCCCTCCTCTTTTCAGGGCTGACCCTTCAGCATGGCTTTGTCCCCCACTGCCTCCCACAATCTAGCAGTTCCTCTCTAAACTCTACACTAACCTTTTTTCGGAGAAAAAAAGCAAAAGCAAGTCTTTATGACTCATATCATTTTAATGACACCAACAGATGGTGACATTTCATCAATAACCCTTTTGCTTATAACCTACGGATTAGCTCCTTTATCCATCTGCCAAAGTCACCAGGCAGGCAGTGCCACTAGCAAATAGCAGAAAATAATTGTCTGTTTAGATGCATAAGCTCTAAACACACTACTGTCCAATGCAAACAATTAGCTATATTGTACGGCTTCCAAAAGCTGCATGCGAGGTGGCTGTTGCTAGGGCAGAAATGAGCTAGGAGCAAAGACTGTTTCTCAGGCCTTGGCCTTCACAACCTCTGGGAGGGGTGGAGGGTGAAGTCCAGGTCTAAGGAAGCACAGGAGCCCAGAATCCTGGGGTGGATTCGAGAGGTGCCCCAGGAGCAAAACTGTCAGCATACTTCGGGTGAAATTCTCTTTGTCTTCTTGCCAAATGAAATCATTCTGGTTCAATGGGTGACAGCTTGCAAGCTGGCTAGAAAAGCAGAAGAAAAACATGCCGTTCCAAGTTTGAGGCCTGATTTGCCTTCTCTCAAGTTGGAGATGCTAGCATATTCATTAGTCTCATCTAATGTGAGAGATGCCACTGAGGTTAGGGCAATGACTTCCCAACTTTTTCTGGAGTAGTAGCACGCTGGCTTTGACCTTGTGACAACCCACTCTTCTCTTCTAAAACTTCTGTAGTCTATAGAAAACAAAATACCATGGAATGATCCAGAAATGACTTTTGATATATGTTTTTAAAGTAGTTTGATATCTGTTGGGGTCTCCATGGAAGCCCTAGAATTGTGCAACACCAGGGCGAGAAATTATTACTTTAGAGCCTTGTACTCTCTGATGTGAAAAATCTTTGATGAAAACTCATGACTCAAAGTTCCCACATGGTGGGCGGTGTGCTGGTTGTCAGACCTTAAAGGAGTTGGTGCAGCATGGTAGGAAGAGTAGGAGGAGAATCAGAAATCCTGAGTTTCCAGTTTTTGCTCAGGCTACAATTTCTGGGTAGTCACCACCATCATCTGCAAGCGTTCACTGAGCACCTTAGGTGCAAATCAGTGCGGTAAATTCTAGGACTCTTTTCTTCAAGGAGTCCTGGATATTATTTATTTTTATTTTTATTTTTAAATTTTAATTTATTTTATACATTCAATTACTATACATCACTACAACTTGTAAGGTGAATTTACCCAACATGAGTACACTTCACCCCTGTCCATTTGAAGATACCATCAACAGATAATCATCATTTCTGGGTCCCCGAAATGTCTTCCCTATTTTCCCCATGATTCCTTTCCTCTCAGTCTCCACCTTCTCCCACCCTTTTCCAACACTGTGTCCAGTATTCATAACCGTTTTCCATGCTTCTATATCCTCCAATCCTTCAGTTTCCATCATAGAGCATGGACGGTCAGTATGTACTAAGTGGAGACAAGAGTCCTAGGTTTTAAAGGGGAGAAGGAACAGATGACTCCAATAACTTATTATTTATTCTGTCACAAGGATGATGCAGGACATGAGCAAGAGACTTCCAGTTGTCATCCAATATCCATTCTGCTTGTTATGGACTAATTTATATTTTGAAACTCTAACCCTCAATACCTCAGAATATGACTACATTAGAAATAAGGCCTGTAAAGAGGTAATGAAATTAGGGACTAGATAGTGTAAAGGTTATGTCACTGGACTTCCACATGGCTGACCATGGTTTGAGTCCTGGACCTGGTGGCTTAAAACTTATACTGGGCATGTGTGCGTGCATGCCCAAAATCCTGAAGGGAGGATAGAAGAGCAGGAATTGAGGCATGGCCACCTCCCAGGGGGTGATTTCTCATTTTCTGTCTCTATCTCTCTGGTGAACACACACATGTAAAAATCTCTCTCTAAGAAGGAAAAGAAAACGAGGTAATAAAATTAAAGTGAGGCCATTAGGGTGGGTCATAACCCAATCTGACCAGCGTCCTTATAAAAAGAAGAGACTAGAACACTCAGAGAGATACCAGGAACATGTCACAGAGGGAAGGCACATGAAAAAAGGGACACGGCAAGAAGGGGCCATCTGCAAGCCAAGAAGAAAGGCCTCAGAGGAGACTCACACTGCTCATACTTTGGTCAGACTTTTACCCTCCCAAACTGTGAGAAAATAATTTCT